ATCATCTATTTTCAGATATATTCTGAATTGCAAAACTTTCTATGTGCCATTTTTGTAGTTATATCTAAACGCGCAACTATGTCTCCATTTAACTTCGAATCTCTTACCGTTCCCGAGGACTAAATGGTGATGGTGAAAGTCAAATTTGAAACACCCACTCGAGTATTAAATCAAATATTACAAACAAGCGGTAATGTAATACCGTAGACAGTAATGGAATGTAGACTGACAGACGAAATTTTACTCTGGAATACTGTGAAAGTTTATTTTTACAACGCCTAAATTATTACAGATAGTCTAATCATGTCAGCAAATTTCCCCGAAATCATTGTAAAGTCTAGTTTTATTAGTGCAAGTTATTCAAGGTGATATGTATTTATAACATGGACGCATAAAATAGGTGCATCAATTTTTGTGGGAAAAGTTTTTATTTGACAACAAAGAATGAGAAAACGTGTTTTTTTGGGATGCAATCGAAACTTTTGGCAGGAACCAAAAAGCTCTTCATAGAAGATTTTTAGGTATTTATGAGACCTACAAAATAAGACCACACGTAAAAAGATCCGACTAATAGCAAAAAAGTTATGGTCGAAAACCGAGGCAAACTGCAGGTTTCGGAACTTGTTGGTAATGCGTCGATGGTTTCTCGCAGATATTTGAAATTCCCAATTTCGTAGAATTCATACTTCTAAATAACCACAACAAAATTGGAGTAGATTGGTCAAGTAGTTTTTGAGAATTTCTAATTGTTTATCCCAAAGCACCTGTTTTCTACTAGTTTATTGAGCAATAACAACACTTTCGATTGAATCCCAAAAAACACGTATTCTCATTCTTTGTTGCCAATTAAAAATGTTTCCTACAAAAATTGGTGTACTCATTTTATGCGTCCATATTTTGTATACCCCCTTGAACAACTTGCAGCAATAAAACCAGACTTTACAATTATTTTGGGAACCAGGGGTATTTTAGTCTAGTATGATTAGACTGTATGACACCTGAGACAGCTGATTAATTTCTAACTACGTTTTCCGCGACCGTTGTATTATTATAAGAAACGCTATGGGGACAAGGTAGCCTATACATCGAGAAAAATATTTTGCAAATTTTGACCTTTTTTGGATCACCAACAGAACCAAATCAACAATGATCCATGAGAATGACAAGTGACAACACTCTTATTCCTATTTGAACACGGGGAGAAAAGCACACTTTTGACGTTCCAGAAGGATTACTTTGTTCTATTCCCGAACGCGTGGAACACATACGTGAAACAATTTACGAACGCAGCCCTGATGTCGGTCCGCTTGATCATCCGATAATCATGGCCTCCTGCAGGATTTCTTCAAAAAGGCGCAAATGAAAGATGTATGGTTATGCTTCAGAAGAAATGTACTTTCTCATATTCTTTATGTGATACATTAAATACTAAGTAAACTTATCTTTGATGACTTCTCGGGATAAACAGCTCCAAAATACACCACATTCGTTTTTTTTATTTCGTGGGCTACCTTTACAAAGTATTGATTGACACTGCCAGTCACAAAAATCTTACCAAACGCAACGCACTTGGTTTTTGATAGGCTGTCGCTTGTGGTAGAACTCTGTGATTGAGTTCGCTATAAGTGTCCATATTCCATGTCGGTACGTCACTGCCCAAACAGCAAGTGTATCTAAAAAGTTATACAAACCGTACGAGGGCGGGTCGGCGGTGGATGGTATCCCGTGTCGGATTCATATTGATTGGTGGCCGGTGGCGTGCGGAAAAGTGTGTCCGGTAGCGCTGTGCCTGACACAGGAGATTTATCTCCGATACTATATGGCGAATTGCGACCAGCACGCCCACAAAAACTCGGCCGCTCTGCTAGATGGAGCCGGGAAACTGTGTGAATGGGAGTTGTTGCTTGGATGATGTACGTCGCAGTATGGGAAATGATCGGGGGTTTTTGGACGGTCTCAAGGCGAGAAGCAAGAGGGGGTTTTAACAATTTTTATATAGGGTGTTCCATTGGAAAAGGGAAATATTATCATGTTGTTGATGGGCCTTATAATAGAGATACATGGGATTTTATCGAATAGCCAAAGCTATTTCTTTATAGCCTCACAACTTTTCAACCGGCTTGTATACTTTTTTTAAACCTGGTAGGCATACTTATCTCATACTATTGAATCGATTGTGACCAAAAGGAAAGAAATACAGGTCCGGACTCAATAAAAAACTTACAAATCCTCTCTAGCCGAATACAACACAACACGCCGATTCAAATTTCTGCGTATAAATCTAGGTAACGCCCAAAAATAAGACATATCCTTTCCACTCCCAATCTATTAGTCGTGACACAAAATAAAAGAAAAACGTGCATGGACCTCGGATACGTTGAAAATCGAAATTTGAGCAATTCCATTTTTTGCGTTTTTTTCCGGGGCTCCGCTGCCCCTCGATCGAAAAACCTACAAAGCTTCTACTTCTCGCATATACTGGGAGGAAGTATTTTAATCGCGACACATTTCCAAAATGAGATATTAGTTTTTAGATGTTATATGACATGTACATCACGAAAAACCACGTCGCTCATTTCCGTCTATCTGTCTGTCGGTTTGTCTATCTGTCTGTCTAATCCTTGACCCGTCTATAATTTGGGAAGTACAGCTCGGATTCTGCTGAAATTTTTACACAAGGCTACATGGACTTAGAGCTGAGAAATACATCGAAACTGCAAGCTGTCATTTGCTTGAATATGTTTATAGCAGACTTGACGAAGGTGAATATGTAGTACCTTTACTTTTGATCTATCTAAGGCATTCGACACTATAGGTAGCAACATACTCAAGCAAAAATTATATACTGTGGGTATTAGCGACTTCTTCTTGAATTGGGTTGTCTCTTACATGCATGACAGAAATCTGAAAGTTAAAGTTGAAAGTACAACATCTGATATATTATATCCTGTTGAACATGGTGTAGTTCAAGGATCCGTACTGGGACCACTGTTGTTCAATTCATACGTGATTTGCCCAGTCATATCTCAGATATAATCATGCTTGCAGATGATACCATTAGAACTGTATCTGCAAAAAATGTCAATCACCCTCACCCCAAAATTCTAAGTGTATTCGATGAATTATCTGCTTGGTGTCAAAGAAATAGGTTAATCTTAAATTATAATAAAACTGTTGTTATCAATTTTAACATCTAACTTACAGTTCACTTAGACTTGAATATGTATGATCTTATTTTATCGGATTCTTGTAAATTACTTGGTACATATTTCGATTGTAAACCAAATTTGCATGAACATATAGATCACGTATGTAAAAATTTAAGTAAAACATATTTTGCCGTTTTATAACTTAAAGATGTCGTAAATGAAGAAGCTATTATCAATGTATATTATGGGCTGGCTTTAGCCATATGTCTTATGACATTATGATATGGGGGAAATCTTCCAAAATCAATAGAGTATTTGTTGCCTAAAAAAGAATCATCAGATTAATTTTCGGAATGAAGCCACTTGACTCCTGTAGAGAAATTTTTAAATCACGAGAAATTCTTACATTACACTTTATTTACATTTTGAAATGTGGAACTTACGTTAAGAAGTTTAATAACCTATTCCCAAATACTAATGCACATCATAATTATAATACTAGAAATCAAAATTTAAAGATCATCCAGATGCATACCACGACACATTTAAAAAAATCACCCTATTATAACTGAATGAAATTATACATAAATTACCAGCTGAAATACAGCAAATTAGTAATTATTTTCGATTTAAAAAAGTTAAAAAATTGATTAGTATCAAATGCATTTTATAACATAAGAATATATGGAATATACAACCTTGAGTACTTGAAGATGGAATTTACATGGATTGTTATATTTATATTGATTTTACTTAATTTTATAAATTTTATTTATATTATATAGCTTATTTATTTTATTTATTTTTTTTCACCACATGTACTATTCTGTATCTAAGTTATTAATAAAGATAAAGATACTTCTATTTTACTAGTTTTTTAAAATCTCCAGTGGCGGCAGAGCAAGGAGCAAAAACGTCAATAAAATAAAAATCGCTCAAACTTTGTTTTTAGACGTTCCAAAAGTTTCTGGTAGTTTTCAGACAAATTTTTATAGGGGTTAAAAATTGGGGGTTGGGAATTGTAAGGGGGTAGAGGAGGGTATATCTGAATTTCTTGATTTTTGAATATTTATACGCTCCGACCCCGCACCGATTGGACAGATTGCACCCGATAGATTTCTCCGTACATTTGTCCTTAAAATTTTGCTAATACGCGTCTTTGTTTATGCTTCCTGGTTTGACCGGCAGGCGTGGCGGTCTCCACATAAGTCTGTATCATTGTCGCAGACCACATTGGGCAGGTCCTTAGAGGTGAATAGAAGATGCACTGCTACGGAATACATAATCTGGGGTTCGATTCCCAATAACATCAAATTATAACTTCGTTAATCCAGATCAATAAAAGATCTTCAGGGAATCTTGTATTTCCGATTAGATCAACATAACATAGGTAGACAATATTGCCACTTTATTTTCGATGTGAGAAACAAAACACAGTAATTGAAATTAGCTAGTTACAAGTTGTTCCCTCAACGATTCAGGCACATCAATGTATATTCTATCACAGCCAATTTCTTTGATGAGGTTGTTTAGTTTCCTTACGTCTACATTATCATTCTGGTGTGACCACAGAGTCAAAGTGGACTTTTTTACAGTATGGAGCAGCCTTTGCAATTCATCGAGACTTTCGGCTGCCAGACCAGCTCTTACAGGAAAAGTGATTTCGTTTAAAATATTATTGGTTTTTATCACGTGAAGCATTGACTCAATATCGGTGTCCTTGTATTTTCCAAACATTGATGGACCTAAAAATAAAATATTTATTTCAGATTTCGTTCGGTAAACATCTAAAAGATAACAGAATTATTTAATGTGGTTCACTGAACGTGATTTGTATCGCGCGACATGAATCCGCTCGTTTTTAAAGAAGCATATAGTTAACTGGAATGCTTGTACTGAAGAAAACGTAAGCACTTAGAACAATTTTGCAGTTAACAGTACTTCAAATAAATGAATAGAATTGTAAATAATAAATGAAATATACAAAAAGTGTAGCTATCAGCTTTGTTTCGGGACATACCAGTTTATTGCCATCAATTTTTATTAGCAAAAATCACACTTCCTAGTTTACAAAAAATAGGCCCAAATGCATTTATCACCGCATTGGTTCAGTGTAAACTTATAACTTTAGATAGCCACATAGGAAAACACTTAGTCTGTAAATGGAGATGACCATAGATGCTGTTCAATTATCTATGCATCTGTTAAAAAATTGGGAGCAGCCTTACTGAAGTTGCTGAATGGAACTCAGTAACGGCATTCTGGTGCTTCAAAACGCAAAGAGTTAGGGTGCAGTGGCGGATATAGGGGGGGTGAGGCGGGGCGAGCGCGCCCCCCTCCTAGACGTCTGACACTTGCTTTTTTAATCTAATACCATTGTGTTACTTTCCGACACATCATGGCGACAGAGGAATACTAACTATAAGTTATAGCTATATGCTATAAAAGTTATATGCGATTTTTTGGTATCCTTTGGTATTCCAAAGGCTGTCTCTCTTTGAAATCTCTTACGTTTACAGCATAATTCTCACGATTTATACGCATATACAAGTACGAGAATTGTGACTTGTGACAAATATAAGTCTGAGTAATATATTAACTATACAGATTGCACTTAAAAAGTGATTTTACCTATGTTCTGTTTGCTACTCAATTGTAATTTGAAGTGTAAAGCTCGACTGATTTTGTTCGGGGTTGGTGTTGCAGCAAAGCACTGTGGTAGATGAACGCCTAAATTGGAGCTGGACATTTATGAGATTTGTTTAGCGGTGCGTCTGTGGCATGTCCAGAAAATGTGTCGATCGATGCTCAAAGACAATAACTACACGTCCCGCATCTCTTCCCGCGTATGTGTCTATTTATGTTGCTATATTGAATTCGTTCAAATCACAAAGCTTTTGCACTACACGTGAATATGCACAGCCCTGTATCCTTGAACTTGTTTCGTACAAACATACATTATCAAAATAATTACGATCTAACAGATACATTTTTTTCCAAAGATTTCTAACATTTTTACATGCGATCAACACGGATTCGAAAACTGAGGAAACAACAACTATGCCGTAAATCTAAGTTCGACAACGAAAGTCTGAAGAATAACTACTGTAACATCTATACTGAACTTCAAAAAATAATTCACTATACCTATTGGTATTTTTATTAGCTGCTGATATAATACAAGTGCTTGGTTGTATCAGTATTTGCACCAATTACTGGGCAGTTCAGAGGCTGAATCCTTAAGCTTAGTACTCACTAGTACGGTCTCAAGACACGATCTATAGAGGGTCTATAGACATCCTTCTTTGTCTCGACTGGCGTCCATATGATAATGTGAATTTTTCGGTCTCATGTTCGTTTTCGCCATCAAAGACATTGCTTTGTGTGGAATGGACTGGGATATGTCTCGGGATCCCTCATTTTGTTCTCATATAATAAAATATTGCCTTTATGAGGATTTCTGAACATTTTCCATGTTTTTTTTCAAGCTGGCATTGACCAGATTTAAGGAGCCATAATAGGATCAATTCTAGAAGGTCCAATGAGGTTGAAAAATTACCAGCCGCAAATATCGCTTGCGCCCCCCCCCCTAGACGAAATCCTAAGTCCGCCCTTGTTAGGGTGGTTAGGGCATACGTATATAGGAAAATGTGATCGGTGACCAAAAATTCAAGATCAATATATACCATTTTCTTGAAAAAAACTAGCGTCTAGGGGGCGCGCGCCCTCCATGTTCCCCTCTAAATCTGCCCTTAACGAATTTTCCAATCGGTCTACAAATATGATGGATATCATTTTTCACAGTAATATCGAATCAATTTAGATCAAGTGCAAATATTGGAAGAACAGAATATCGGCTGATGGCCGTGGTGCGTTTGAAATAGTGTAGTAGTGTAGTTTATGATGAGGAAGCTAGTCATTTGGATGTAGTGCCAGGCCCGTAGCCAGGATTAGGACATAGGCTAAAAAATTTCAATTATTTGTATCATATATTTACATAATATGATTGAGATCACTTGAATTTTCTGTTTGTCTTTTATGTTAAAATCTGAAAAAAATTCTTTCGGAATTTCGGGGGGGGGTCATGAGCCCCCTGAGCCCCCCCCTGGCTATGTGCCTGTGTAGTGCGTAGTTATTTTGAGAATCAGCAGTTTTTGCTTTTACAAACCTGATTTTTCAAAACTTTTCAGGTGTGTATTCCAAACAAAGTAGTTTTTCGAAAATCGTCGAACGACATGATGGTCTTTCAGTCAATGTCGGCGCCAGGGGTGATGATAATTCATGGGACTATAAAAGCATTTTGATTCTACTCATTAAATAGTATGCACAATATAAGTAATATAAGCTTCTTCTAGTTGCATATTGATGCTTAAGATAAAGTGTCAACATTTTTAGCAACTGATACGAAAAGGCGCAAAATAAGGAATCTTGAGGAAGGAATCAATATTTAAATAATTCTATGAATATTTTTGTTAATTTAAACTAATTAAAAAAATTGCACCGCACCAAACAGGAACACAATGTGTGAGTGTTATAATAGTTTTATAATGGTAACGATAAAATTGTTTTAGTATAAATCTGAAAAAAGTATTAACTATATGCATTATCTTACCATAATTGGTTGTCCATCCCACCGACAATACAACGTTTGGTAATTTCTTGGCCAATTCGAGAAATCTGTGTGCATTCAGAGGTTCATGAGTTGAATTTATTGGCCCCGGAAGGATGTCTGCGTTTATCCACAAAGGAAAAGCACCCTGAAATGCAAAAATTTCAGTTAGATTATTCGGCAAGGTGAGGTTGTAAGCGTAGGCTAAAATCCCCAAATTTTACTCCATATTGATGATAAACTAACTGAGACCAGCGTTATCTGGACTAGGACATAACTTTCAGTAAAACAAATTCTTTTTTTGTAAATTAAAGATGAAGTCTAGTAGATCGACTCAGTGCTTTCAATGAATTTATATAAATCTATATTCTAGATACAAGAATAAGATTTACATAAGATTTAAACATGTTTGAGCCTCTCTAAAAATGATATGCCGTAAAGTGAAGAGGAAGCTGATACATGTCGGGAAATGGTGACTCGATTTTTTAACAACTTTGACTGCTCAAAGTTTACGTCCACAGATGACTAGACACTTGAAAAACGTCGAAATACGAAGGTCGTTAATATTCAGAAATTTTTCGTATTTCTCCCATAAATCCGCCGCAATTGAACCGATTTTGAAGACCTACAAGATGCCAATCTTTGGCAGATTATCTTGTATCAACATTACATTGAAATCCAAGCAATACTTTCAAAGTTATGGAGGGTCAGTGATGGGTGTTTACGTTTCGATGTAGACAATCCGTAGACAATGTATATATATAATACGTATACAATATAAATAGTATGTATGTATGTAATATATCTGTAAGAAAGTTCTCTAACTCACTTACATGTGGCTTTGAAATCTCACAGGTGAGTTAACTTGAGTTAATAACTGATAACACCCTTGCTGATTTGAAATCAGTCAAATGGATGGATTTTTTTTGCAGATTGTAGCTTTTCAGTTAAAACTATAATTTTCTATAGATAAATAATAAATATTTATATTTACACCTTTTCTAATTATTCAAGAATCACTTTGCATATATGCAAGCGACCTAACTGAACTAATATTTGCTATTGTATACATGAACTACTTAGCTTACATTGTCAATATGAATATAAAGATGTATACAATTACAATTGTATACGCGTATACAATGGTGTATTTTAGATATATGACTCGGTATATGATGTATACAAGGCGCCCATCACTGAGAGGGGCAAAGGTTTAACAGACATATATGACACATAGATCACACATCACATATTGATTTCAACATTTTTCGCGACATCATGGCCATCTGGTGTGAGGCTAAAATACTGAAAGAAAAAATTATGTTACCTTATGATAATAAGTAATGATTCCAGCAGACTTTTCAAAGGCATTCAAACTTTTGAAATCCAACTTAATTCCTTGTCGAACGATAGGATTTGCTTGATTTGTGATCTGCCCCAGAAAGCTCTCCAATGAGAGGTCTGATTCTTTATTCGGTGGATGAGCCATTATAGGAATCAATTTGTCCGATGATTTTGTCACTCCTTCTGTAATATCTGCCTCTATCATCATTATTTTTCCTGAAATTATATAACTTTTAGTACTATATTCAGAGAGTCAAACGATACCTTCGAATCAACTACTATATATACCAACTTGGGAATCGACTTTTCAATTCGAAGAAGTGCCGCGTCAACATGGGTGTGTGATTTGTTTTGTTGCTCTTTTCCTTTTCGGTATATGAGATGAAAACGGGCGATTAAAATGTACCTCAACTTGAAAACCGTACAAAATCCAGTTGAGGATTTCTGAAAGGATTTCACCACAATATTTTAAAAGTTTCCTGAGTAAGTTGTAGTATTATTGAAAACTAAGTTCGTGCAAAAATGGGCTCTAAAATGCTCCTCTTACAGATATAGTGAGGTTGTTTCTCCTGTGGGGTTTTTGTTGCACGATATCTGATAAAGAAAAACTTAATTGAACACTTTACATGAAATCCACAGTAGTTTTCTGAAACAGCATTATTATCTACTAGCACCCACTACGCCACCGGCAGCTAGGTACCTAGCATTTGGTAGGATTTCCATCACTTTTGAAAAATTATGTAATAAAAAACATGTTTGTGGTGTGTTTTGGGACTGATTTTCTCGAGAAATCATCAAAGGCAAGTTTGTTTCATATTCAGGGCATCATACAAGTAGATTTAAAAAAACACAACCAACCCGAGTGCTGTAGCCTGTGGAATAATATGTTCAAAGTTGGAGTTTTCATTTTGATCTTATAAAATCAAGAGTCTGTGTCAAAATTCGTCAAGCCGATTAAGTTGTAACCCATCAAATATGAATTTCCAGGTTGACATTTTTTTAATAAAATCCACCTTTTTGATTTTATAAAATTTCAGTATAGGTACTTAGGCCCGTATCGTCAGTCGTCCCTACAATTGTAGGGCGCCTTTATGGCCTCTTGATTCTCATAGTTTTCTACTTCTCCGTGTCAGCGCTCTATTTTGAGGTTATGTCACAAACATCAATTTGCATCAAATTGTGCTTGGTTTTGAGTTATATCATGTTTTATTAGCCTGAAATTTCCTACAATTTAAAAGGAAAACAAATCTTCACAATAGGAGAGCGCTGACGCTGACACGGGACAAGTGTAATCTAGAAATTTTTGAAGGAGAGAAAGGAGTATGACAATCAAGGAGGCCATAAACGCGCCCTACAATTGTAGGGTCGACTGACGATACGGGCCTATGTGTCACTCGCACTGTCAAAATAAATAAATAAGAAGGTACATTTTTTCGGGAGCACAACCATACCTTTTTATTTGCACCCTTTGGAAAACATCTCTGTAGACGCTCATGATACGTGGTAGGATAGTAATTCTTAGAAAAAAGTTCATATACAGATGGGTTCGAAATTATTTATTTCAAGATTCAGGAGGTCCCACTTTTTTTCAAATATCGATTTCCTGACATTTTTGGCGACTTTGTTGAATTTTCGCATACATAGATGGAATGTTGAAAACTTAGATAAACCCAATAATACAAATGTATCAATAAAGCTCAGACTCCTATAGAAAAAATTAACATCATCATCTGTGATACCCTCTTTTGATGGTTTCCAATAGCGATGGAAAACTTTTTCAACAGCTTTTTCAACGGATATTTTATGGTATAGTATGTGATGGTACTCACCATTTGCTAAAGTTTTGCTCAAATAGTCCTGATTGTTAACAGCATGCGCCCAAGTGATCAAACTAACGTTTCCATCAACTTCAGGGAAAAAGTCTGTCGTGATCGACTTCATTATTGCTGCTGAATGAACTTTTCTGGATGCAAAAAGCAGAAAAAGGGCTGGAATAAAAATAGAGTATTTCATTGTGAGACCTTAGATGTTTGTATGGATAAAAGCCCATCAACTCTAATGTGCAATACTGTCCGAATCAGTTCTTACTAGTTTTATCTCACGTTACCACTGTTATTTTAAGCGCTCCACCAAGGCTGCTAAATTATTAAGAGTTTAAAAAGCAGTTATCTATTCCATAATTGATTATAAATATATACATATATATGTTAGTCTTCAGAAATTTAGGAAAAATGTGGACGTTTGGTTTATGTTAAATATACGAGTATACAATGCAACTATGGAGTGTATTAATATTATTACTGAAACCTCAAGGTTTTGTCTTTCCATTTTTTTGAGACATAATTCAAAAACATTATTCCTGTTACTTCAGCGTAGAAACTGCTCTTTATTGTTCAACTTGATTGCTTAATGTTGGACAACACTTTAGATTGTAGCAACTTTATAATATATGTATTATTTTTAAAAAGGAATTAATTCTTTGGGTTTTCTCGTTTGTTAGTAATGGACTGAGTCGCTGCCGGTACTTCGTCTGCTGGAAGCATTGAAATTGTTCCTTAGATCAGTAAATCTCTCATTCCTCTCACTCTCGCTGATAGTACCTAGTTATTTTGAACAGTTTTCTCGTCGTTTGAGATTAGAACGAATTTTTTACCAATAAAAAATATTTCACGAAAATTTTCGTTTCTCCTGTATATTCGATATGAAGTTTTTTTCCAAGATTTAGAGAATCGCAGTTTAGTTTTTTCCATGTTTGGGAAACAACACAAAATCAAATATCTAAATAATGTTTGTGGTTGGGCGTCAGTTCTGGTAGAAGAGGGCTTAAATTATCCTTGCCTTAATGCCGGACAGACTCTGTTTCATCTTTACCCTATGGGTCACGGCCTGATAACTCAAAATGCACCAAAAATCAAAATATCAGGTGTACCTCTCACCCCTGTTCTTTGAAATCGATCAATTTTCTCCAACGGCGCTTCAGCTGCAGGCCCCAAGCTTCCTACCCAATTCAAATCACGCATTATGTATATTAGATAATGGTGTTTCTAGAGTGCATTTTCCAAACAATTATTCATCTAAATCACACATGAAATTGGATACATTAATTTTAGAAGTTACATTCACCCGACGTCGATAAATCAATATCTGACCTTGTTAATAAACTTTGATTATGATGCAGAAAAGTAGAAAAAATCATCGAATGCTGTAGATCTATTGCATCAGTATTTTGTTAAATGGATTTTGACCATATGCTATTCATTTCGTAACTAGCAGATTCGCATAAATTTACAAAACTATTGTTGTGTTATTAACATATTTTTATCACTTTGGTTTTCGTAATATCTATGTTTTTGATTGAAGAGCTTCATCTAAGTTAGATAAGCAGCACGCAGTGGCGTAGTACAAAAAGTTTCAAGGAATGTTCTTATTCATTCTCATCTTTTATTATTTCATCAATATGAAGTATTACTGTTTGAGATTTCATGTCGTTCATTCCATTTTTCCAGCAGCAATATATAATATATTACATTCTGATGAAATTTGGACAGGTGGTATTGTAACTTGGATAACAGTTGGATATATTTTAGGGGTTGAGTTGATACTATTCTATATCAGCAAAATGTTTGATGATGTTCTCATGTCAACAAGTTGTGTTGTGATGTTACTAAGTGACCACTGATATTACAAACCTCTTATACATACATACATATGTATAGGTCAACAATGAAGCAGGGTCAACATGTTGCTTTTTTATAGGAAGTGAAGCAGTCGCTTAGGCAGAAACCTACTCTCAAATACTGTGGCATCGCGTCTGATACAAGAGGCTTAAAGACGCCTTGATCCAGTTTTTCAAACTGCCTAAGTTTAGCAAAAGGCTCCTCAGGCTGGTTATTCCACAATCTCGACACCCTAGGAACGAAGGAGCAGACGTATCTACTAGCCCGTTCTCGATGTACGGAGTCTTACAGAGCTGGGCTGGGAGGGAAAAGCCTGGCGGATTCGTTTGGCAGACTCAACGTACCGCCGCACGATGGAAAAGAACCCTGAGGACCCCCTTAACATAGCGGTAGGAGAGAGCAAGATCGACGATCGCCCATCCTGAGATTCTATGTTTGAGAAGTGTCACTGATCAATTGAACAGCCCTCTTCTGAACAGCACCGAGTATGGACAATGTAGTTGATGCGGCAGAACCCCAGACATGTCAGCAGTATTCGAGGCTAGCTCTTATCGGGGCCACCCAGCAATCGGCACTGAGGGGTTTCGTTAGCGCCTGTGCAATCACTTGAACGGGAAGAAGCTCTGCATACAGTGCAACATCTTCCAAATCAAGGATTCACCAGGGACCCGCTTAGTCAGTGCTGAAACACTGTAGTAAAAAAACCTCGCACTTCTATTGTGATGCTTACGATGATGGTATATACATATGTTTACTTAGTGTAGCAGTACCCTCAGTAAGATCTAAGCTTGGCACGAAAAAGTGAACTACTTAAGCGGCAATATCTGAATAGTAGGTACACTGAATATCCATTATAATTATTTAGCTATATTAGTACTTACATAAATTAGTTACGATATGGAATATAGTATCAAGTAGGTAGTTATTAAAATCGCCTTATTTTCATTCGCAGAATAAAAAAGATTACAGAAACAGACATATCCATTGTATGATAACACCTGCGTGCATCGGATATTATGTAACATGTATGGTTTCTCGTTCGCTAACCCGATAATGTTATGATAACAGAACTCAAGCATTCTATTTTTGAATCTGGCACAGTCAATGGCGGAACAAAATAGTAATGCTAGGTGTTAAACTAGAATCATGAGTAAATTGTAAATGTTTGACAGCCTAACAATTCTGCTTAAAATGGAAATGTTGCGTTATGCCAAGTGTCAAAAGTTTTGAAAGACTCCATGAAATGCAGATATATACCAATATCATCAATATATTTCTGCAATGATAACCATAGGACATTTTCAGAGGGTTATAGTTTACATGAAAAATATAGTCATTATCTTTGATCAAGGGGTTATGACGCATGAGATTGGTTCAATTCTGAAAAGAAAGATTGTATGTGTGTTACTTGTTCTTGCTTTTTATTTCTATCAGTATATAATATGCACTGTACTTACATAGTAGTCTTGATGTTCCTTAGCTCAGTAAAAGTATTAATAAAACGATGAAACGATAGCTTTTTCACGTTGATTAGAAGTTTTTTAGAAATACATAAAAAAGACAAATTTAGTCCATGAGTGACATACAGATGACGTTTTTTGTTTACAATTTGCATGACATGTCATTTTCGACAGTGCTTTCATCATTTCGTATTAAAAATGAAAAATATGTTTTTCAAATTGGACCTATATATCCATATATATTTCGTTTTCGTAAGGCAATTGCTGTAGGAAATACTCGTTCACTTTATGAAATTATATATGAGTCAAATATCCTATTGTTAATTTAATATTGTATATTGATATATGGCTAATCGAATATTTGATAATACATACCAAGACAGAGCTGAACGCGATTCACGAACAAAATCATTTCACGTGACGCGCGTACCTTTGGGTGCCACTATTTTTCGAGGCCAATTTCTTTATGCGTGTCCACTTATAGCAGAATTGCCTATATATAGCATCTTTATAGGATTAGCCATCCAAGTCGTCACTATTTTATTCACTGTGGTATATAAATAAGTCAATTGGGAGAAAATTGTGAAGAGGGGACAAGGCCAAATCTGCTTTGATTACCTTATCATGAAGAAAAACCAGCATTTGTTACAACATTTGATTTTAATTCGTATTCTACGAATATATAGAGGTTTGCATCATGACAATCATGACAATCAGGAAATTACCATGAAACATGTAGGACATTGGTTAAGTGTATATTTAGGTATCAAGGAATTTATACATACAGGGTACTATATTCTATACTATAATTCATTCTGCTTGAAAGGTAGGTACTCTTTCGACTTTTCTGTCTAGTGTGTCTCTGAAATATTATTAGAATTATTTTATCAATAAGTTTAATAACCCTCTGGATTTCAACTCAATTATTGCTTTTGTACTATTTTCTCAGAAAACAGTCTTAAGAGTACAACTATTTTTTTTGCAACAAATAATGTGTGGCTAGAATAAATCCCACTAATTTGGGTGTTCTAGAAGATAATTTTGTACATGTTCCTGTGACCTTGGAAAACATTTTTCGTGTGTTAAATAGGGTTCTCTTTAAATGTAAATTTATTATAACAGAAAAGGTTTCGTCACTGCATACCTATCATGAAAGCGGGATATTCTGAAATCATGGTTATGACTTTTTTCACTTAAGTGGGTATTGAATCTGAATTTGAACTCTCCGTACAACACTTTGAAACATCTCATAGACGTACTAAATTCAGAGGCGCTCTCAACAGTTTTCCCAAGGCGAGACATCGCTAAGGGGAAACTTTTTGTATATTGTGAATGTGTATCTGCACCCAAAGTTGGCAACATTGCTTAAATTGCTCAAATTGGAATATTGTATATAGTTTATTCACTGAAACAAAGCAGTTGCGTCATATTTAGTAAAATTGAATGCCAACCTTAATGCAAAATAGATCCTAAATTGGTACGTATAGTTTTAATTTCCAGGTACATTTATGTTGGTAACAGTTTTCTGTGTTGTGACATTGTCGCAAAGCTTGTCAGGTAATTTTGCCAACGGCTGTTGTTTATTTGTGGTTTATTTTCGTTCTTCTTACCTCAATATTTGCATTGTTATTTTATAAAATCAGTTTTATTCAAAACTTTGAGATGTCCTTTTAAGCATTTTGCTAAAATCCCGAAACCTTTGGGTCGGCAAGCAAAAGAATTCGTAACTTGTTTGACGAAATATTTTGAGACCGAACGAGAACATGGCGCTTATCCATTATTGCCTTTACAGTCCGTCAGAGAGGAATTAGTTAGTAAATAGAATTTATACAATCTCAAAACATATGCTCCGTAATGTTGGTTGCGGTAAGGCATCGAAAACATAAAGTAGATTTTTTCAAACGTCCTAGTTTTAATTAATGTGGCAACTATGTGCGTCTCTGTCATTATTTGACGTTGTGACGTAACTGCATGGAATCAGTGAATAAACTATACAAGACCATGCTTAATAAGCAAATTTTAGAGCGTAACAGGATTCCTTTTCTACCCTGCCCTCCTGTTGAGCGCTAATGATTACATCTCAGAAGATTAAAACTAATTCATATTTTAATATGAATCTGCCTAAACATTTAACATCTAAAAACCCTGTTTCATTTTAAAGCGAGGAGAGATGTACAACTTGATGTGTGATTGCCTCTGGTAGAAATCATGATTGCATGACAGTTTGACAGGGCAAATATGTCAAAAGCCAGAAAGGTTCTAACTATACATGCTAAAGAAACATTGCTAAATCTATCTATCAATCGTACAAATTATTGTAAGGGCAATTATTTGTTACATGATACACATTCTGTAGCATATATTGATCTAAATTTTCAGATTAGGCTATAAGTTATTAACACACGTCGAATTTGCTCTGTGGTGCCTACAAACAGGACAATAAATCTTGAGGATTTTGTATGAGGAAATCCTAAAACTTGGGCAACAGTGATTTTTTTTAGTGTTATAGTTCGTAATAATAGTTCAATTTGGCGTCATGATAGAGAGCATTTGTCGCCATTTTGATAAAACGCATTTGATCGAAAATCTTGAAAACCAGCGATGCTATGAAATTGGAGGGTAAAGGTCCATGCAACAATATTTCTGCTTATAGTGGATAAACGTTCGACCAAAAGCATCAGATTTAGTTCATTCTACGGCAAGTAGACCACATCTACTATACCGCCAGAATGGTCAACCATCTAGCTGTCACATGGTGACAGGGCTATTAAACGTGAACTGAAATCTCGGGATAGATAGTTGCGATGCTTTCGTTCGTTGTCCCAGAGAGACAAAGCCTAGACCACGCTGACGAGTAGCCAAAAAGCATGAAACAGCGGACCCTGGTTGGCTGTCTTGGTCGGACAAGTACAACCAATAGGTAACGGGAACCGGCGGCTGAAAATATCTTTCTGTTTCAAGAGCAAATGCACAGGGAAATTTATGATGTGTGAAATTGGTATAATAGGTGCGGATAATTATCGGGGTTGGAAGGGTATTAATATACTAACGTCAAAAAATACGGAAATATGTATTTACTAGTTATATAATAGTTTGCTTCCTTCAATACATGATGGATATATCGAGCATGGGAGCCCGCCTAATACTAACCCACTGGTGACTTTTCACACGTCCTGTTATTTCCAGTGGCTAGTCACCTAGTAATGTCATCTAGCATCGGTATGATCCCGGCGGGCAAAAGTCCCGCTCATTTTCCATCGATTAAGCAAGTTGCAAGACCCTCCCCGCATTCCTGTGGACGTCCCGCTGATGGCCACGCTGAGGGTCCCAGCTCCCACACGACGCAGTCGGACGAGAAATTTATTTCGTTTTTCATTTCTAAATTCCCATGCTAGATTTATAAAATATAATTATATTCATATTTGGCATAGTTCACACAGTTGAAAAGAAAATTGATACATATGATGACAAAAACCGTTCAGTTTGAATAGACCGAAATAGGATGCTTACATTACCTACCTTTTGATGCAACAATTCAGATATTTGACAAGTGTTTATATTTCACTTAAATTGTTTATATTAAGCTTGGCGCCTTTTAATTTTGCTTCCCACCGCTATTGGTTTTGTTTCCGCGAGAGTTTTCGATTTTGATATAATACGGGGTCTGTAAATTAAGTGATGAGTCTGGTAACATAGCATTGGATCTAGCAACACTGGAGGCGCCGGGCTTGGAGGCGAAATTGAAAAATCACCTCAGGGGAACTCATTTTGGGGACAGTCAAAAACATTCAAACGGCTGTAACCGACCAGCTGAAGTCTATTCCGGTATCGGAGTTCCAGCATTGCTATGAGGAGTGGAAGAACCCTCTCCAGCGCTGTGTGGCTACAGAAGGAAGTTATTTTGAGGGTGACAGTATACAATTGTAATTATATTTGAATAAAAGATATATACGTATATACTATATGCATAGCGAAGAAAACATCAGGATTTCCATGAAATTTCAAAAGTTGGTCTTCAAAATGAGCCGATCTCTACATATAGCTGTAATGTTCAGCAATTGGATTTGCGTAAAAAGCTGACTGGTGCCACCATAGTTTGTGTCCTATATCCTACTTTTTCTGAAAATATAAATTTAGTTTCAGGGTGGAAAAGAAGTTTGTAATTAACTTTTGTTCCGTATTGTGGTGAATGTTCCAAATGTAAATCAAGTGATATCGAAAAACGGAGCAGTTTTACTTGATATTACCTATTACGACTCAGATATCAAAAATGGGTAAACAGGATCAACGCGTTAACATTTTATATACGGTAAATCACTACCTCCTACAGGAGTTGACCGTTATTTATTTTTTACTACTAAATCAAGAAATCGTCAATTTTGACAGCTGTACCCTATCGAAGAGTAACTTTCCTTAGATATACGGAGTTTTAGTAGAACCGTGGAGAATATTTCAGGACCTTATAGATGAGGTCACTACCGTCAGATTTGACCTTATAATATGCTATCAAAAAATCAACAAAACATTGAATTTCTTCGTTTCAGAGGGTCCTGACCATTTCAAACAAAATTTTTGTAGGGGTTGAAATTCGAGAGCTGGAGGTTGTTGTGTGTGGGGGAGGGTATACGTGGGTGGTCC